CCCAAACCACCAGACCTAAGTCCAGATCTAGGTCATCTATTTGTTCAGTGCTTTGGTTGACCGCCAAGTGAACCTGTTTTTCACCGGAACCCACCTGGGAAGGTGACATGAACATGCAGGGCGCCCTGGACCCGTCGGATGGCGGCTGCGACTCCGCACAGAACGGACGGGGCGGCATGTTCTTCGTCCTCGAGGACAGAGACACAACGCGTGCGGCGTGGGAACAACGAGGTGTTTTGATCGTGCAGGCAGCACGATCAGGGAACGGATGGGATTCTCATTGATGTCGATAGCATGGTCCAGTCAAGTCAACCAATAGCATGGATCATGTCGGATGCTGTCAAAAACGGAAAACTGCAGCAGTTCTGCGGATGTGACAGGGGCACTCCTATCCTCCAAGTTGGGCACCCCGAGTGTCAGAATTGATGGTGCTTTTTCGACTCTTCAGCAGAGTTTGATGTAGCAGACGTCGTTCTAGTCACAGCCAAGAATTGCACAGAGGCCCTGGAAAACAACGCCAAAAGAACCTATATATCCATTCAGAAGCTTGAATGGGTATCTCACACGAGATTCACAAAGGAATTCCGACTAGAGAGTCACCCCACGTTGAGAAAAACATGATCAATGCACTCAGCAACACATCCGGAACCTTCCCAAGCCAGCATTGTGAGGACGATGTGCTTCATGAGGGGTTGAAGGCCCTTCTCACTGGAGATACTGCTCCCTACAAGGGCGGTTCTGGACCGGGACCTTCCCCAACGCCACCATCGCCTCCAACGCCGCCATCGCCTCCAACGCCACCAACGCCACCATCTCCTCCAACGCCTCCCGCGCCACCCAGCAGTTGCGGTGGGGCCGGCATTGTACCTTGGATCAGTTGGATCAATATATAAGTCTAAAAAAGATAGGGGACTCTCCAATGTGGCTGAATCAGCCAACGTCTCACCCGACCGGACTGGCTCAGCTGTTGGGTGAAGCCCTTTTGTCGCTTTTTGGCCGCGGATGGAACGGGCCATGGTATATGGCAGGTCTCCTTTGCACATTGTGAAGGAAAGATGGGTTTCAAGGACAGCTCCGGTGCATGGATAACCGAATGGGCTACAGGCTACGACCAGATGGGCAAGTCTCAATGTGAAACCATCTCAAACCCATGACCCGCCAATGTTTGACGCCATGAACGCCAACGCCCAGGATTGGAGGAAGTGCAAGGCCAGCGGATGCAAGTATGTCGTTTGGCAGATGAAAGGCGAAGCAGACGGGTGTGAACCCTGTGGTGCTAAACAGCTCTAGGTACTGGTACTGGACCCTTTGGGAGACGTTCAAGACTTTCACTAGTGGCACTAGCGACACACGCACATCAAACCCCAAAAGCTGGCCGGCGCTCAGATGGACTCACAGCATAGGCCGACCTCAGGTTCTCGTAGGTGAAACAATCAAGATTAGAATATGTGTGCGTACTTGTGCTGTTTGAGAGCATGTCCAAAAATGATCAAACATGTATCAATTGACACGTTCAGTGATTCAGTGGAATTAGTCTCATTATCTCTGTGACAAGGGAGGAAGTGCCTCGATTGAACTTTTCAATGCATGAGGCAAATACAAACATGTCAAAAGTGTGTGTGTGTGGAGAAATTATCCAGCCTCAAAATGCTTCAAATGCTGGTGACCATATGGTATTCGGCATGATACTTTGGTGGAGAAAAGTAACTATATCTCGTATACAACCCATCCTTTTCTCGAAGTTCAATGCAGCGAGAGCTCCTTCCGATCCCCAGGAAGAGATACATCCCCCCATGTTGTGACACCCCCAACTGGAGCTCTGGGTGTTAGTGTTCACCGCACTCACTTGGGATCACATGGAGCTCTCACTAGCTTCGATGTGGCGCTCCACGTGCCACTCCTGTCCATCGCCGCGCGTCGCCCGAGAGACCGGAGGGGTCGCGAGGAGACCACCGGTCTTTTCCGTCTGACCCTTCTGGCGAAAAGGGAAGCTCCGAAGCTCCGACCCGTCAGTCCTTCGCGCTGTGCATTCTGAGGTGAAGAGCACTGATGCCAAGAAGTGCCAGGTGGGGAGGAGCTGTGACCGGAACCGCTCCAGCGCTAGGTCCGCCCTCCAAAGTAGAGTATTTCAATGACGTAAAGTAAGTGTATTAATGCGGAATTTCTTTGATCCTAAGGTAATTGTATTACGAGGAATTAGTTTGGATCCTAAAGTACAGGCTTAGTTCAATCAGTGAATTGTCAGCCCTGAGGCTCGATTCTGCATTGTTGAAACTGTTTGGCGGGTACTGACCAAGTGAAAATGGCCGCAAAACACGGACGGCTTGCCCAACAGTTTCGATCTGGAGGCTCCTGTGCATATTTGTTTCTTTCCAACCTGTTTCGTTGGAATGCTCACTTGCCAATTACATTTACGGAAAAAACCGGTCGAAAGCAGCTCTGTCTGAAAAAGGACACAACAGATCCTCCAAGTTTGGAACCCCGCCATACCGGCGCCGCCCTCATCCACTCGTTCAAGGTGGCCAAGTTTGGATGCTATGATGTGAACCAATTGCCTGATGCCTGTAAGAACGCCAACCAGTTGGTGGCTTAGAATGCTTAGCTGCCGGCTTTGCGCGAAGCCGCAGCAGCATGCGAAGCATGCGAAGCTCTAGGACCCTCCACTGTAAGATTACTTTCGGATGCTGAGATTAGGCCTTTCAGGATCACTATGGATCACTATAAGACAATATCGTAAAGTTGTATAATAGCAATTACTCATGGTGTTTTGCCCTGATCGGAGCCAATCAATTGGGGTCATGACAATCACGTGGTGGTCGGGTCTGACTGCAAACAGTAGTTCCACTGTGAGTTCCACTACTGTGACGTCGCTTCCGATCATCTGCCTCCAGCGATCCCTGCGGAACGACTTTTAAGGTTCGGCACGCCGCGGATCGGATTCATCGGAGCTTTTCGCTGATCGGAGGATGGCTGGTTAATGTGGGTCCCAGGGATCAGGCGACGGCGGTCCTAAACACACGATGCAAAAGTGATCTGATGATGTCTGATGTTGTTGGTGTTAGTTTTTGGTTTTTGAACACAAGAGTCGAGAGTTGAATGAAGTGCCAGGAGCCTCCCAACATCTCCCAACAAAAAAGACAAGAGGCAACGAGGTTTCTGGAACCTGAATACAGGTGGATTTCATATGATGTCATTTTGAACACTGAGGTTTATGACATGAGTTTCAACGGGATCGATAGAAAGATGTTCCCTTGTGTGTGCAACACCTGTTGAATCAAACACCTGCCCCTATCCGAGATCTGTGTGCAGTAGCCGGACTTGGCCGGACTGGCAAAGTGTTGTCGTTCGCTCCGCTGAAACGGATGTTCCATGGACTTTCCATTACACCTGGGAAAATTAACATGGAACCTAACAACCACAGGGTTGTAGAGGAAAATAGTCTTCCAAAGGTCAGTTTTCAGGTTCCATATTGATTTTCCCGGGTGTATATGTCCATATTTTACATGCGGTACCATGGTTAAATCAAGCTGATTCTTCACAGCAAGTTGCTGTGATCTACCAGGCCGTGCAGTGCCTGGTCGGACCGATTTGCTGGGACCTTTTTGCTGGGTCAATCAGTTTGACCCCCAAAACTGCTTGTTGCCCCACTCCGTGCCGTGACAACGTCCATGTCGTGTCGAAACGTTTCTTAGCCGTCTGGGCGAGGGTCTCCACGCGGACACGCGAAGGGCGTCCAACCCGGGAAACCTTCTGCGGGGATGCAACTCCAGAAACAGAAGTGAATATCAACTGCATGATCTTGCTTGGCCGGAAGATGCTTTTGCCTGTTACTCATCGGCAGCAGTGAATTTGTCGAACACCTTCCTCTCAAAATCCAAAGGAACAAAAACCTTGTTAAGGTCCTTCGAAGCGCTTGGAAGAAGGAAACTTGTTGATTGGGCTTTTAGGCAAACATTGGGGTTGATGTATTGGTCCATAGATGGAATGTTTGAATAAGTCCATGCAGTTGCGAAGATGCCTTGCCTTGTATCCAGCACCGCTAGGTACAACGCATGCTTGACATAGAAAACATATGAAAAACACATGTGTTTGTTTCAAACACCTTCACATATTCAGTGGTCAATGCGCCTTTTTGCTGGCATGGGGCCTGGAGCAACTCTGAAATCAATCCCATCATCTCTTTCCGCTGCAGAGTGAAATAAAATGATACCATGTCGAGATGCTCAGTCGTGAACAAAGAGGGTGTCGTATATATAGAGTATAGTATAGGTGAAAAAGAGGGTCTTTAAGAGAGGACAGCCAGTGTTGCTCATGGTGAAATCCTCCCAACCCTAAACTGGGCAGAAACTTGATAGAACGATATGCTTGATAGAACGGAGTGACTCGTTGGTGGGAATGTTGCACTACCAGCAGTTGATTTAATCGACAACATGTGTGTTTAAACTCCTTACCACCAGCGATTTAATGTGTTTTACCCATTTACCTTAATTACACACAAAGCCAGGTCATCCTTTTGTTGATGGTCTTGTAAGACTAGGGCTTAGCTTGGAAATACTACCTTTCAACCTTGCTTTGCACATCGTTGCAGTTTCCATAGTTGTTGTTAGAACCATCCCAGCACCACTAAGAGTTTGGTTTCTGACCCACAACCATATGGGTCAACATGACTTAGATGAACGTCCCATAGTACCTGCTTGCGATGAGCGAGCTAGTAGGTCTTTATGTGACTAGACTGAACGGTTGGGATATATTATCATCACCGCACTGCAGGTTGAGACCTTTTTAAAGCTTGAAAAGGTAGCCTTCATGGTCTGTAGCAGTGCCAGCGGATTCCTTTGTCTCTTCCACTTGTTGCATTCCCTCATTTCGGCCCATGCACCCCCCACAAAAAAGAAAAAAACACCCCGAAACGCCTTCGGTGACTCTTCGCTTCGTGTTTATCGCATAGATAGACCGCATACCTGACTCCCACCGCTACTCGTGTCTCCTGCTCTGCGGAGGCGTCGTTCCGGCGTCGCATCGCGCCGTGGATGTGTTGGACCTGGCCGAAGAACGTGGCCTCCTCCAACGCGACGAGGCGAGGGATGAGCGCGACGAGGCACTGGGAGAGGTCCGGTAGAACGAGGCACGGTCGACTCGTCGACGGTAGAGGCCACGGGTCGACGGTCGACTCGTGCTCAGTGCCACAAGATCCCGAAAGGGACATGCGGCATGACCCTACAAACGTTGCATCGTGCTTGCAACGCGTTATGCAACGCGTTAAGCAACGCGTTGGTTTGTAGCTACTTGGAGGAGAAATGTGTGTTTAATGTTCTGTGCATCTCTCTTGGACCTCCCCGCTTTTCGTCCACTTGCCAGGCTCAAGGCTATGCCAAGCGGTGGCTCTCGGGTGAGGCGCGTGAGTCGATCAGTTAACAGCGCTTCCATAGACCATCCGTATCATCCTCGTAATCATCCTTTGTCGCGACTGCCATCAATCACTCCTCTCAATCACTCCTCTTATCTCCTCTTCATCTTCATCTTCCTCATGTTTTTCTTCATGTTCTCCCCCAATGAGTCAGTCAGAAAGTCCCCGTTTTCAGGGTTGTCTAAGTTCCGCATTTTTGTGGGTTAGAAGGACCTCAAAAGACTTGGTGAGCATTTGTGGTCCAGAGATGGGTGATCCACTGGTTTCATAGAGTCACACAGTTTCTATGACCCGAGACTTGGGTCGATCGAAAACTTATTGATGACCATCCCTAGGGCTCCAAGTACCTCCTCAGAAGGTATCTGGACCCTCCTGGCACCCACCCCAAACACCTTCTCAGAACGTACTTGGAGCCCTAGGGCATGTGAATTTCTGTGTGAATTTCATGGCGGACCACGACATAGTTGGCACCATGAACTCCATCACGCGATATAGCTTTAAAAACGAACTCTGTCACCACGAACGGTGGATGTCGAGTCGTTGGGAGGGTGCTGAGTCGTTGGGTTGGTTTTTGTTTGGAAATGGCCACAGGACATGAACAGGACATGATAGAATTTGCTCTGTCGTGATACAAGTTTGGTTGGGTCCATCAGGTTTGGTTGGGTAGGGGCATGCTGTGCTCGCAGAAACGCCAGGTGATGACAGATGATGACTCAGCGCATCCTGGTGCCAAGATTCACATCACTACACACACATATATATATATATAATATATTATATATATAATATGTAGAGAGAAACCTAGGAACCTCAAATTAGGACAAGACGGATATGAATCTCAATCACATCCCCAAGGATGTGGATCCTTTAGCAAATCTATAGTCTATTCTTTGGATTGGATCGGCTTTCTTTCGCCCACCGTGCACAAGTGTGTATTTGCATTCTGCATTGATCAAGCAAGTCTTGTGCAGACCCCAAACACATATATTGTGATCCACCATGATCCACCATTCCGTTGGAAAACTCCAGTGTAGAAGAATGAGAGAGCCGTTTCCGCGCAGCGGTCACCAGTCACACAGTTTCTCCATGGAGTGAGTGTGTGGCACGCGGAATGTGGCGACCTGCTGATTTCCTGAGACAGGAAAGTTTGGAATGCCATCCACATGTCTTGCACTTTGGAATGACATCCCACTTGGAATCACATCCCATTTGTTGTCCCATGTTTCATGACATCCCATTTGGAATGACACAACAACGCACGTTTACTTGTCCCATGTTTGATGTTTCTTGGGTCGCATCCAACTGTCCAAAGATGCGGTCCTCTTGTCTTGCTCAGGCACCGACGTCGCGTTCGCCCCCCTTGATCCCAGCTTCACGTCGACGTGTAGGGACGCTTCGTGTCCTGGGCGCGTGGTGATCCCGAAAGCGATGAGGATTCCACTTCACCCACTGTTGAGGTGTCCACCCACTTCGCCCAGGACGCCACTCGCTTTGCAGCGTGCCGTGCTGCTTCGAGCCTCTTTGTACCAGAAGCGCGCAGCAGCCAAAGCGCTGGCAGAGCTCTCTGGGCTGCAGCCCGGCGAGCCTATTCGTGTTCGATCATATTCGATCCCTAGAGTCCAGCCTAAAACCTTGATACAACATCCGGGCGCTGGGAGGTTGTTTTCCGACGGACCAAGTTCGGCCTATCCTGAACTTGCTGGTTTGTCAGAGTATGATCCAAAGTTGGGTTCTGAGCCACCCAGCAACAGTCCAAAGAACATGATTTTTCTAGGGGTCCGATGATCAAGTTTCACTATCATGAGATAGCCCAAATGTTGTTCAGTGTTTCTGGTTTGCTGCATGGTAAAACTGGGGTGCTTGGCAGTTGGTAGGGTAAGTGTCCTTCGGATGCTTCTGCGGTGTGATCTCAGGTATTTGTGTGAGCTACGTCCACTGGATACGAGGTCAGCCACTCGGATGGTGGGGTGTGATATGTCATCTTGATTTCTTTCGTTGGCGGGGAAGTCTTTGGTGAAAACGAGGGCTGGTTCTGAAAAGACTTTTGCTGTAGACTGTTCCCTCTCCATCTCAAAAGTCTCATGTGCTTAGCACATCTGGCCACCCTATCCTCGAGGACAGAGCTCAGCTTTGTGCCTCCAAACTGCCTTTTTCGGCACTTTGGGGTCAAGAAGATGGGCTTTTCGTTGGTGGAGCTGGCAGCGGCAAAGGCCAGGATCAGTTGATCAACTTGGTGCGCTATGAATGGTGAGTTGAAGGAAGGGAGGGAGGGAGGGAGGAAGGAAGGAAGGAAGGTGAACTATTTTCGGATGGTTTGGGGATTGAAGGGTCTTGGAGAACAAAAAGCCTGGAGTATTCCAATAGTAGAAATCCTTTGGTCGCGAGCCCTTCGAGAATGCAAGCACTGCATGCAGGCGTTGGGACACTAGCCAGAAGGCGTTGGAACACTCAGAAACAGTATCAAATTAACTATCCCTGTCAACCGTCTTGCCCTGTGAGAGGTCCCCCCAAGGAAATTCAGCCCATTCACATCCACAGATCATCACAGATCCAACGAGATCGAAGGAACTGGCCAGGACTTCATGTGGATCAACGTCCTGAGAGCAATGTCGGCAAGCAGTGGCAGGGGAGGCAGGGCGGCAGCAACATTGGGGCACAACCATCCGTCGCTGTGGACGGATGGTTGGGGTGGTCCCAACTCTTGGAGCCGCAGTTTGTGGAACAGGGCCCAAGAAGTAATTACACAGTGAGTTTGTGTGGAAGACCAACCATTTCTGCAACCTCATGAATTCCACCAGAATGAGCTTGTAGAGCTGGATTGGTCCAGTAACAGCAGTGAGCAGTAACAGCTGGGTCGCTTTTTTCACTCTAGATCCCCGGACCACGTGCGATGCCTGGATTGCTGGTTGATGGCCGAACTACGGTTTCATGCCAGAAGATGGCAGGTTCATGATTCCGTGGTATTCAGGATCTCGGATGGACCATCAAGATCATCAAGAGTGTGCCGGATTTTACACCTCAAGAATTCACAAGGGTTTGCATCCCGGAAACGACCTGACCTCATTGCTTACCTCTGGACCTAGTGACTTTAGACCTCAAAACTAGAGGCCCTAGAGGCTGTGGAAGCGGGTTTGAGTCTTCAGAACCGCATCCACCATGCATTTCGTCACAGGAAGCTCTTCGCTGCCTGGCCTATCGACCAAAGTGGCTCTTGGGAGGAGTGCTATGGCCACTTGGTGCCCTATGTGTATGATCCCTAGCAGCACCCAAACTCTATGGGTCTTCTCAGGCTTTTGGAGACTTCAAAGTGGCAGGTGGTGACCTTTGGGAGGGTGCTGGTATGGACCTGTGGATCTTTTTGTTCCTCAAGAAGGAATCCGTTCTTTTTCGGTAACATTGCTGATATGTGACATGTGTACTATGTGTACCCTTCTAGATCAGATCACTCCAAATCCACCAGTCTTATGCCCAAATCCACCGATCAGATCGACGTCTTGCACCCAGAAACTGAGAGACGTCACATGGTGTCACGATCAGAGACTGTCACGATCCAAGGGTCCATCCGGGTCGATCCAGATCCATCCGGTCCGGCTTGGCTTGTTTAGGCTTAAAGAATCCGACTCTGGACAGTTGGTTGAAGAGACTGTGTAACCGAGGGCTACAAAGGGCTCCAAGAAGACCCACCTTGACGGCCACGTCGGAACATGCGACCAATGATATCCCTACCTCTCGAAGAACTGCAGAACTGCTCGTGTTTCTTCACTGTCACAGATGAGCCAGAAAAAAAAGGTGGATTGATGTAAAGTAGTATTGTGGGATCCTTCGTTCAGAATTCCACGCACCGCCGCAGCTATTTCTGATGTTTTCTGTCTTTGTGGAATGTGTTATTTAGTTGGGGAACGACCCTGCGGACGACATCCAAAACGACATTGGAACGATCTCCTTAACTACGTACATCATGTATTTGCTGCTGCTGCTGCTGCTGCTGCTCTTGCTCCTCTTGCTCCTCCTGCTCGTGCTGTTGCTCCTGCTCCTCCTGCTGCTCCTCCTCCTTCTGCTGCTCCCGCTCCTCCCGCTCCTCCCGCTCCTCCTGCTGCTCCTGCTGCTGCTGCTGCTGGTGCTGCTGGTGCTGCTGGTGCTGCTCCTGCTGCTGCTGCTCCTTCTCCTGCTGCTCCTGCTGCTCCTGCTGCTCCTGCTCCTGCTGCTGCTGCTGCTGCTGGTGCTCACTTTCGATGGACAGTATTTAGCCAGATTTCTCGGCGAAAAACGACCTTTGAACGACCTCTGAACGACGTCCGCATGTCAGTCAGAATGACCACTACTACCTACTACTACTACTACTACTACTTCTACTTCTGCTGCTGCTACTACTACTGCTGCTGCTGCTGCTACTACTACTACAACTAGTACTACTACTACTTCTTCTACTACTACTCCTACTACTTCTACTACTACTACTTCTACTACTACTACTACTTCTTCTTCTACTAACTACTACCTACTACCTACTAACTACTACTAACTACTACTGACTACTAACTACTAACTACTATTATTACTACTACTACTGCTACTACTACTACTACTACTGCTCCTCCTCCTACTCCTACTCCTACCCCTACTCCTTTGTACTCCTACTCCGACTGCTGCTGCTGCTACTGCTGTGTTTTTTGTTATTGGTACTACTACTACTACTACTGCTACTACCATGGTTGCCGCCATCACCACATATTATATGAAGACCGCCGCTTGTAAATCATACGGTTTGCTGTTGGGATCATGATTTCGTACCATGTTTTTTCTACCTCAGATGAGTTCACTTTCTTCACAGATGGTACATAGGCATAGTCATACTTGCTCACTAGCGACGCTTTTGCCAGCCTTCAGATCACCCAATCTTCGTATACACTCGGACGCCGTGGTACATGCCCCACGAGCTAGGCGAGCTCTTTGCGGAACCGCTGGAGGCCAAACATCTCAAGGCACTGGAAGAATCCACGTGCTTTGGCTGACAAAAAGTTGGTTTTGTGGGGTCATTGGCTGGATCCTGCTTGGATGGGACATCCAACATGGGTCTTTTGAAACCGGAGGCTCCGTGCCTTATTGCTGCCTAATAAGTCATAGTCTGAAACATCATGTTGCAAAGCAGGAGTGTGGGTGCCCCAAACAGAAGTTCTCTCCCATGCTCCTCCATGTTGGAAGGACGTGCAATCTCTCATCTCCACTGGGCACAGCGGATTATGGGACTACCGAATTCCCCTCTTAAGTAAGAGGTTTAATTGAAACCAGACAGATCACGATGCTTTCAAGAAAGTGACAAAAGTCAAGAGTTATGCTGCTGCTATATTAATCGATAGCCGATATGATATCATCTATGATATCCAAACTTTTCTTGGCAGACAGTGACAGATCCACTGTTGAATCAGGCCTTTTATAGCGTGCATGCCTCCGCCTCAATGGTGCTGGGTTCAGAGTGCCCAGGCAACTCATCCTGCTCGAGCCTGGGGATTTGTTCATCTTCAATGGCCAGATGCCTCACACCGCGCTTTGCTTGGCTGGAGACCTCAACGTGACCTCCTATGCTGCCTGACCGCAGCGACTGAACCATGTGACTGAACCTGACTGCACGCACTTGACGATGATGCGCGAAGAGATTCACTCGGTCAGTTTTTCTTTTGTGCTGACTGGACAAATGGGTTTGGGTCAAAACCCCAGTTCACCGTGCAGAGCCCCATCGTTCACCATGGTTCAAAAGAACAGATGTCAACTGAACTCATGGATTGTAGGGCACTGCGCATATGACCGCCACATTCAGGCACCGTTTCTGCAGGTTACATTGAGCTCAATAAAGAGATCTGAAGATCTGTTGCTGCCGCTGCTGCTGCTGCTGTTGGTGGTGGTGGTGGTTGGTGGTTGTGGTTGTTGTTGTTGTTGTTGTCGTTGTCGTTGTTGTTCGTGGTGGCGGTGGCGGTGATGGCTGTTTTTTTTTTGCTGTTGCTGTTGCTGCATTGCTGGTACTGTTGCTGTTGCTGTTGCTGCTGCTGCTGCTGCTGCTGGTGCTGGTGGTGTTGGTGTTGGTGTTGTTGTTGTTGTGGTTGTTGTTGGAGAACGCGGCATTTAGATTGTTGGATTTGGTGTCAAGTCCCTGAGTTGTGCAAGAAACAAATCCCGCTGCCGTTTCAGGAAGGTTTTCTGAGTCTCCATCCAGAGCATCTTCGGCAGTTCCAGCCGCGTGGTCCAAGATCGGTGACATCCATGGCGACGTCCAAAACCGGATGAGGGCCCAAACCCTGGCGAGCGCCTTCGGGTGAACAACCGGGCCTGCGGGTGTGGAAGATATAGACATGTTTGGCATGGATCTACCCCAGTAAACCTTAAGAGTTGCAGCACAACAATAACTACTAAATATTACTAATAACTAATTCTTGGTTCCCAAGCCTTTCCTGCCATTACAACTCTTAACAGTAACCCAGAACTTCCAATTTTTCTGTACTCCAGCAGTCAATTGTCCACCGCTACTCTCCCTAAGAAAATGAGTCGATTGGACTCTGAGGGTACCGAACTGCTTGCCAGGAACCCCGTCTGCAACTGCTCAGGTCTGTTTGCAACCAGTTCCTGGGCCCCTGGCAGCCACTGGCAGAGGACGAGAGACAAGAGGGGACGGGGCTGGAGATGACAGGTCAGGAACAGAGAAAAACCATTGGCAATTGAGGCAGCCAGGGGCTTCCAGACCTCAAAGCGCCTCAAAGAGTGGATATCCAAGTCATGGGTCGCCAACTAAAGGTTGCATCTTGGGCACGAGCTCTTCCAGCGGATCGGAAAGAGGAGCCCTTATGGCTTTTTGGCCAAGTTCGGACTTTGGAACGACGCCTGTCACGAGACCAGCTGCGGAGCGCTGTGCAGCGAACGGTTGATTCTGCAGCATCGCAACTTTTGGTAGGTCACCGTGCTCTTTGAGCAGAATGGAGCAGAGACCAATGCCCAAAGAAAGGGCCTCAGCAGCTGCTTTGGCAATTCTCCCAAAGCCATTCTGCACCGCAGTGTTCCCCACCACCCCAGTCCGGACTTCCGCAAGGAGTGGAAGCAGGAGCTGCATGGCCAGCTTTGTGAGCTCCAAGAGGCCACGTGTCGATGGAGTCGAGGCGAAGTCGCTGGCGAAGTCGGCGACACCTAAAAAGTTCCCAGACACGGCCAATGGGACTCCATCATCAGATTCATTTGGGGTGCTATACGTTGGGGTGCAGGTAGGCATAATCTTGTCCTACATTGAGTTTGTGGCTTTAGGTGGTTTTATCAATAATTAGAATAGCGATAGTTATAGTATATAATAATTAGTTTTAAATAGTTATGATATGTTATGATTAGTTTTGTAAAAGTAGAATATGTGTGTTTCTTTTTTAAGGTTTGAGGTTATTACAGCCACGAACTTTGCTTACCAGACCCGTTGATGTACGCTTGGAACCATGTTTTCGACCAGGACCCGACTCTACAGGTCTCCCCTGGAGGCTTTTGTGGACTTTAGAGTTGTAGGTCGGTGCAAAACTTCATCATTTGGGGCTCCTCTGCTTTTTTCTTTTGACACGACTGTACCTGGCAAGGGGCACCAAGTGAACACCATGCGGAACAACGGTGCTTCTTTGTTGTTTTGCATTCCTGGTTTGTTGTGCCCTGTGGCAGCACCATATGCACTCATAGACTTGCAGGCGTGGCACACGAGCCAGAAGCTGTTGAGCCAGGCGCAGTGGATCAGGGAAACTCTTTCATCCACCCCCACGGGCCCACAGGGTTGTCGTTGTATCCCGAGTTCCGCCTTCTCAGTGGATGATTTTTTTCAGGACTAGGATCCGGTTGCCTCGTGGAAGCAGCGACCCGCCTTTCCAAGGGGATTGGTTTAACCAAATCAAATAGGATATGTTTGGACATCGAATGAAGTAGATGAACACGGCCTCTGTGAAACTCAGGTGGCCAGAGTTGACTTGTATGGCCTGTTTTTGAAGACTCTTAGCTACCTGTTGAAAGACAAAACAAACATGAGTCATGAGCCTTGTGTGGTTAGAGAATGGTTTTGGACACCCACTCCTTGCATGTATATTCTAGTTCGACAGGTTCCGTGGGTGTGTTTTTCCTCACAACGAGCAAGATAACATGTTCTTCGGGACCCACCCAGACAACCACGGTGTGGGTATCACAGCTCAGCCGGGCACAATCACCTCAGCCTGACCGCCGCGGTGACGAACTGAACTTGCCATGTGACCAGCCGCTGTCCAGGATGGTGACCGGCCACTGCCTGGTCTGGATGAACGCCTCATAGCAGCCTTTGTGGTGCTTGAAGAGGGTGCACAGTGCTGTGTGACCACAGAGGAAGGCACCCGGGAGGGATCCCTACGTACAAAAACAGAGAGGTTGTTTAATTAGAGACCACCAAGTACATTTACCATATATAGTATATATATATATATCTAGTCTAGGCTGTGTGTTTTCCAATGTTTTCCATATTCAAAACAAATACTACAGTAAATATGTTCTCAATTTATGAGAATCAGTTGGTTTTCTATGTGGAACCGGGGATGGACTCGAGGAGTTCACCCGCGGCTTCCTTCCTCCGAGTTCGTGCAGGTGGAGAGGGCGACGAAGGGGAACTTCATGGAGAAGAGGAACCTGCAGCACCTGCCCTGAAGCGGCGGAAAACCAAAAAGGGGCGAGTCCCTGGACCGGGCAGCGCAGTCCGGTCGAGTCCGTGGAAGGGGACTGAGCAGGTTTAGCGAGGTGCTGACGAAGATTTCAGGTTTAACGACTTGACCTTGTCAACTCCCATTATACACCACAGTGGCGTCTGACATGTGACCATACTCCTCTGCCAAATGAGCCTTGATGGAACAACATCACAGTTTGTCTTTGCGGAGTTTGTTTCTGACTTAAAGATTGGCCACACCCGAAGTTGGGGAAGAAGAACTTTGCAAAGACATTTGTCCCGACCACAATGAAACTTAAGGACAAGAAGCAGTAAAGGCGAACAGTTGTCAGCAAACCACAGGGATCATTTGAATTTAATTACATTGTTTGGTGGGTGGAAGGCCAGTGTCATATTCCTTTTTCAACAATTACAGTATTTGATTTGTATATGCATTTGTATGCAGTATGTTTCAAAAGTTTCAATCCTTGTTTGATAATCTGACCACCTCATTGATCAGAGATCTTGATTTATCATCTATCCTTCTCTGAGCTGGGCTCTGAGATGATGTGGGCTTTGAGAGGTTCCTCATTTGAGAACGCTCCATGGAAGGGAGGCGAAAAGACTTGAGAGGTCACGATGCTGCTTGAATGGATCTTCCAGCATCTCTCAAGCTCCACCAGTCTACTTCACCTCAGTTGACTGCCTCCGCAACAGAGGCTTTTGATCATATCACATCCAAGCTGCTGGTGGCCTGTAGAGCCCTGTTCTGGCACTGATTCAAGGCCAGACACTTTATCATTATATATACAGCGCTGGTTTACCAGAAGTTCTATGATGACTTTCCTCAGGTTTCTTTCACTCACTGTAAATGCGATTCTGAGACCCTTCCATCTCTCCACCCTTCGTGCCGCTTTCCTTCGCGTCCCTCTCCGCGCCGCGCCCCCCCGCAGCTTGGCGGAGATCATGTATGGCGACTTCTTCGACCGGAACGAGAAGCAGTGCCGCTCTCGGCTCGGCAGGACACCGGCAGGACAGGAACCACGGTGGGACGAGTGGCCGGAGGGGACGTGCGACACGCAGTTCGGTGGTGCGCAGGCGGAGATCCAAAGGGAGTGTGAGATGTTTGGCCGGGGAGAGCTCTTCTTCCAGGGAGTCGAACTAGGAGGCCTCCCTATTGTAATACACAAGGTCTACCATGCAAGGAAGTTTCTAGCCAGAATGTTCCATATACTATATGTGGGATTACCGGGGGATGGCCTAGGGTTAGTTTGACTAGCTCCGTTTGCAGAATTGCAGAATTTGGGGGCCGCAGTATTTTGAATCAGTTCATTTTGACCACCGTCTACTGAACAATATCTTTAAGTCAAACAGAGTCTAAACGTTTGAACTACCGTAAACATCGTTTCTTTTAGAGTCTATAGAGCTTTCTTAGCCTTTGCCAGGTTCAGGATGCCTATTTTACTTTGATGATGCACCTTTCACTTTTGATGTTCTCTCAGATCGAACTCCCCGGTCTCCCCGTCGTCGCTCATCGTAGCTCGCCGCGAGGTACGTGCAAGCGACCGATCCCGCGAAGACGCAGCTCACCTTCGAAGAAGCTTTGGAGGTCGGGGGGCCGATCACAACGACGTCCCCAGAGATCCATCGGACGGACCTACCCATCCAACATCATCCGGACCCAGACACCAGACACGACCCACGAGCTGTTTCGGACTTGGGACTGGAAGAGATGCCGAAATATTCACCCCTTTTTCATCCTGTTTCAACCGCCCGAGTGTATGCAAATATGAGCAAATATGGCACACATGGAGCGTTTGGGCATGTTTCATCCGTTTTCTTGTGTCCAACCTGCCGGCCGAGACGTCATAGAGGAACTGGTTCCTCCCGTCTCAGGTCATCCCTTTTATCAAGTGACCATGTCAACCGGGACAGCCTGTCGACCATCCTCTTGTCGACTCTTTGTTGGCCAAAGGGGGAGTCCCAGAACTCCTGCACCATTTCTTGATTTGTATATACGTCAGTCATCAAGCTCGGGGGACCCGCGCGGCGGCGGGGGCAGAGGAGAACATCCGTGGGGCGTGGTATGTTCGATGTGTGCTAGGAGTACAACGGCATGAACGCCAGCAAGATGAACCTGGTTTTCTTCAAGGTGACAGAACTGAGCACTGGCGCGCTCTCGCCAGCGAGCCCGCGAGCAGATCCGATTTCGGAATAGGCTAGGGTTTATTCGGGATACTAGGTTTTGGGTTATCTGGCTTCAGAAGGGAATTGTTTTTTTTGTTGTGCAGTTGGCATTTACATCTTTGATTACAGGACTTTTGATTAATTATGGGAAGAGCCATTTTGTTTTGTGTGTGAGTTGGTGCTCTTCCCTACCGAAAGCGTCTCCGGAAAGGAACAGCGAGAGCTGAATCGCCTGGTCTCCTTCCACATCCCCACGTGTGGGCCACTGTGGATAGACCTTCCGGTTGGTCAACACGGGAAGCTGCCGGGACCGACCACCAGTCGATCCAACGGGTCACGCCCGGGCTGGCAGGATGCTCAAGAGCACCTGGCGCGCGCCTCGCGGATTATCCGCCAACCACGAGGCTGTTGGGCCGAAGGATGTGTAGCTCGACCCCTAAGGCAACGACAACCCTTTGGGAGGATCAGAAAATCGACGAGTCTCCCCAGCCAGGAGCGATTGGTCTCCTGGAGTTCAACTACACACCCTTTATTCATCATGGTTCCATTTCTAGCTTTTTGAGGTTTTTTGGCGTGGGTGATTGGGGAGTTCAGTCCGCCTAGAAGCAAGGTGATGGTTATTATGGTTGTTGCGTATAGCAGTTCAGAGACCTCTGCAGTTGTAGACGAGTTGCGTGTTTTGGTTGGTTAATGCTTTGTGGTGTTGGAAGGTTTAGAGCCAGCTAGAGCTTCTTTCTGGACTTTTCCAGATTTCCTGATCAGCCTGGAGGTAGCTTTTGACGCTTGCTCCACTGTCGAAGAACGAAGTCTACCACCTGAGATGCTCCATCTCCTCTTTAAAGTGCTTTCTACCTCGGAGTTGCCAATGATTTGCTTCCATTCCGCAGGTCAGGAGATGAACCGCTCAGCTAGCTGAGTTAGCTCCTGGCTCCAAAAAAGAGGTCGACCCAAGCCACAAGACTCCACATGAGCAACCACTTTTATTTACCCTAAGGCTCCACGTACCTTCTAAGAAGGTGTTTGGGGTGGGTTTAGAGGGTCCAAGTACCTTCTGAGGAGGTACTTGGAGCCCTAGGGTTAGGCTTTACTAAAGTATTTTACGGCATGCTCTATGTGCTTGTCTATCATCAGTATTTGCTTGTGAACGAGATAGGGCCCCCACATAAACGAGATACTTTTGCTTGATGACACTAAAGTAGGCTGAACGAGATAGTATGATTTGCTACTAAAGTAGTCTGAACATGTCTGAACGAGATACTGTGACATGACCTCCTACTTAAGTAGTCTAAACGAGATAGGGCCCCACAGCGGCCCCACATAATAGATAGTGAATTTGAGTTTAGTATCAAATGAAATAAATACATGTATTAATATATATTTATATATTAATATATATAAATGCCGTCGCACACATGTTTTCGTCGTCCATCCAGACCTGGTGGGTTTGGATGGGCAAGAAGGCCAGAATCTTCTAACATTGACCAGGGCCCCCGCTGTGGGGTGGTTAATACAGACCCATTAACCTCTGAGCTATTGTTGGGCCCCCCTGAAACGGCACCAGGAGCGACGCAGTTCCCCAACCCTGACAGCTAGTGACATTCATCCGGCTCGACCATTCCTTCAGGCAACGCCTTGTTAGTGGGTGTGAGTGGTGTGGGCCGGAAGAGCATGGCTCGGATGGCGGCCCATATGGCGGAGGCAAGAGTCATCGTGCGGTTCTTCTGGGTCTGAGTCCGGGTCGGTATAGTCCGAATGGACTCGCACATGTTTTGGATCGTTGACTGTTTAATTTGTTTAAGACCGTTTCAGTCAGCCTCCAACATTTTGGTTTGGGGATCTTTAGTGCAACGATCGAAGAAGACCTGCAAGATTTGGAAGGGTAGCCACCGCGAGGGAATTCCTTCGATTCCCAGTTTGGAACTGGATACCCGGAGACCCAAAGGAACATGGGGCTTGGAGTCATTGGAGTCGAGACACGGAAGCTCAAGTGTACACATCCTGTGTGTGGGAAGGTCTTTTGAAGGATATTTCAGTGCGGCTTTGGAGTTCTTCTCTGGCCAACCGGGTTTCTGGCTTTGGGTAGGTTGACGGGTAGGTTGATGGTGGGTTTGGAGTGAGTTATCCACGTGAACGGAGCGCAACATTTAGCACATCTGCTCGAGCCCAAAGCAATGGCACGTAAGGGTGTAACTCGTTGCAAGGCAACCATTCCAGTTTGACATGCAGAGTTTGATGGAATACAGGATCTCTCATTTTTTGTTCATCCGACACATACCTGGAACTTCCTCAGAGTGCTTTTTATGTGGTTCACAGACCGTAAATAATCGTTTGTTGAGCAACCGACCAAAAAAAAAAGCAACCACGAGGTTGCAGGTATCATCCCTTTGTAAACGTATGTGTTTCGTGTTTCTGATCCACAAGAGCTTTCGCCTCCCATGGCCTTTGATGAAGCCCTTTGGCAGAGCTTGCAGCAATGCGACCAGGCTGCGGTGGCAGTGTGAATGATCCCAATATGTGTTTGAGACATCTCAGAAGGAGAATACAAGGCAAAATCACGGCCTAGCCCCCTCCAATCAATCACCTTATTCACCAGGAAAGGAAAGGCAAGGAAAGAAACAGGGTCAAGCTCATAGTCATAGGCCCCCTAGCCTTCCAGTTTCCGCTACAAAGTGCATAACTACCCGCACAAACCCTATACATCCCTATATCTAGAAAAACATATACAAAAACACCAGTGGCCCAAACAAGTTGAAGAATACCTTTGTCGTTGCTAGGTTCGCCGCTCCGGCCATTCCTATCGTCAGTTGTGGTACTCGTCAGACGCCTGTTCGATGTGTATGATGCATATATACACATAGTCGCAATAGTAGTTGCAATCACTCAGTGGTGGCAAATTTCCTTCCAAAACCATCCCGTCCCAAACTAGTACAAATTTGGCACCCCATGTCCCTGTTGTCGAATTGTAAAATTATGATAAATTATGTTGCTTCCATTTTGCTTGGGCTTGGGCCCCCCTGCAAGTCACATAGAATTCAATCAATTCCTTTTCTGAGTGTTTTTTTTTTTTTCAAATCATGTACAGTACATATGACTTCGCGCTGGAGTTTCATCCTTTTCAGACATTGCACCACACTTGACTCAAACACAAACTCAAAATCATGTCATATTTGGACGGCATGACAAGAAATGGTGCAACGCTGAGGCAAATTTCGCACGGTCAAGGAAGCTCCAAGCGAAAGTTGGTGTTGCATCTTGTCCTGACTAAGGACATCGTCAACGCAGTATGTTCACATTCAAGAATATTCCTGGCTTGCCAACTCATCTCTAGACTCTAGACATCAATCCAATCTGCATTTGTTCAACACACCGTGACCTGCGACTGTTGGTCACCAGCACCATTTCAGAGGAGACCTGTTGGAGGCTGACAGGCAATTAAACTGTCCACTCCTTTTGCCAAATCTAAGCAATACAAGCAAAGAGACCCAAGGGTGCTACAGAACATAGACACTTGTGAGCAAATACAAGTCATCTAGATACCTGGATTGAATAATGTGTTTTTGTTTTTTCTCACGTGAGAAAAACAACCACATATTTATTCAATCCAAGTCATGTATGATACACGAAAATTACACAAATATGTGTATATAAATGTATATATATATATATATACCTAGCACTTCCAATGGGTGTCGGGTGTCCAATGGTGACCTATAAGCAGTTTAGGGTAGTCCATTGGTAACCCCTTGGAAGCAGCTGGTCACGGGCTGCTTCGAATTGACCCCCGCTTTTGCCCTTTCGCCGCATTGGACCGTCCGATCATGAAGTAGGCCATACAGTAGCTACATATGTTGACTCAGACATGATGCCTGTGCGGAAAAGGGTTCTATGTGGGGTTCTACTTGGTACTCCAGAACCGGGGTCACTCAGGTTCTATATGTAGCAAACATTTGCCATCCCAACAGATCTTTGGAGATGCCGATTGGATCCGAGGCCATGAGTATAATGCCACAGGCCTTTGCAATCGATCAAGCTGTCCGTTGGCGAACAGCCACTACGCTACGGTGGTGAAGGATGGTGCTCATTATTGCTGGGCTCCCAGGTGATTGGACGCGCTGAAGACTGTGCCACTCCATTGAGACTGGGATGGGGTTGAAGTCATATCGTTACCAAATACCAAGGCCTCTGTCAAAAGACTCCCACAACGAGCTGGACGACTGTGAAGTTGTGCAAGAGCTTGGCAGATGCTTGCGCTCAATAGTTTTAATATACCAGACACTCCATGTAGGCCATATATGCCGATCAGTTGGGGTGGTTTCAGGGGTCAATGTAGATACATGGAGTGTTTGGGTGTGTTTTCATGGAATCCCTGGTCTCGAGGGAACTGGGATGACCAGAAACTCTTCACTTTGAGGTGGAGACATCACCTACCTGGTCTTTAAATATTCATCCAACGAGCTTTGGGTGTACATCAATGGGGTTAGATCAGACACGTGTTTTCAAAAATGAGTGTTTGTCGCAAATTCTCAACATCTTAGTTGTTGTGGAATTGGTGGAATTGATGCCTTCTTAAACTTGGACATGCTTATATATACACAAGTGTGACCGGTTGCAGTGAGAATGAGATGGCGCTTCATGGACTCGGACTCCCAAGGACTCCGAAGGACGGACGGTTCTTCACCAAAGGGTTTCAGACTGGACCGATGTGACAAAAAACTCAAAACGGTCGCTATCACAGCTTGTGAGGGGTTTCCCAAAACTGTTTGGTGAGACTGGTCTTGGATATGTTTTAAAACACCTGATTCAACCAGCATCTCGAGTACCTGCTGAAATGTTTGGTCACACACACATGCCCTCCTTGCTTCATTCTCTAAGGCCGCTCCACGGCGCCTGGATCAGCTCTTGGAAGCCTCCCCGGAAGTGCTGGCGCGAGCACATGTGCGTGGCTCGTCCCCGGAAGTGCTGGCGGTGTCCAGATGACCAGAAACCACCACAAGTACCGAGGGTCCGGGGTCCATTTGGACCACCTGTACCGACCTGTGGGTTGAGTTCTTCAGTTCCAGACACATCCAGACACCACTGAGGAGGTGAGGAAGTGACTCCATGGCCACTTACTCCGTCCTCGCGAATCCTCGCGAATCAACAGGACCTTTGCATTTGACCTTGTGGATCCTATAGTTGTATAGCTGAGAGCACTATTTGTCCACTCTAGGAACCAGGGTTTCTAAGCCTATATGGTTTAAGATGGTTTAAGTCTTTGGAGCCACTTTTTACCTATGGGTCTGTGGCTATCCACTCGGTCTGATTAGGATCCGTTGATTTTTTTGCGAGACATATGGGGCTTTCACGAGCCGTCAGGTCAAGGACCTCATCTGACCGGTTCGGTCATACAAAGCCGTACTCAATGAGGTCAAGGACCAAGTTCAACTTAATCCTTGGACTGTTAGGGTTCTATAGTATCAGAACACTGCTCCCCTCGGTCTCAAACCGGGTCCCCTTTTCACCGTGTGGCGTGCCGAACGACGGGATCGTACGATCGCCCGAGCGTCCAAGGCCTCCGATCGCTCCAAAGGGCCCATGGCAGCGAAGCGCTCGTGGGCGAAGCCGGGGGCCACGAGCCGCTGCGGAAGGCCCGGTCGTTTCGGGGAGAAACAGCGGTGAGGACAATGGGTTCAGAGATGGTGAAGGCTGGTGCCGCTGGGCCAACGTCGCGTTCTTTCAGGTCCAAAGACCACACCAAATCCATCCGAGATGGTCCTGAACTGGGCTGCGTCGGATCACAGGTAAATGCGACGCAGCGGCGCAGAAAATGAACAAACATGGAACCTATCACTTCCAAAGGGTGTCCAATGGTGACCTATAAGCAGTGTAGGGTGGTCCATTGGTAACCCCTTGGAAGCAGCTGGTATACAGTTTTTGCTTTTTTTTGATGTTTCAAGGAGATTCAAGGGTTCCAACATGCTCACGTCAGAAAACTTGGCAGCCTATTCTTTCAAACTTGAATCCAGGATTGAGCATGAGGGTGGTGTGACGGTGGTGGACACAATAAATTGGATTGGTCCTGTCATTAAGCTGTTTTTTTTGCCTGTCGTCAGCACCTCGCACCACACCCGAGGAGCTCTTCCGTTCCATCGGCTTCGTGTTAGTTGATGCACCCACTCAATCGCAGGTGGCTGTGAACAAGAAGGCGGACAAAAGGCCTCGCATTTGGCAAGAAGATAGGACAAAACTATACAACACTCAAGCTGTAGTGACTTTAGCTCAAGCGGCCTTTTGGCAGCATCCTACTTCCTGCTTCAAATTCCATCAGTGTGTGGCAAGATCGCTTGTGATGTTGCGCTTGCCAAGCGCAGGGAGAACAAAAGTGAGAGGAAGGCTGAAGAGACAGCAAAGGTTGAGTCTTCTGTTGGGCAGGAGAGACATGGACCAGGCAGCTTTCGGCCAGACATCTCGTATCCAAAGCCAGCAGCTGCAGGTCGTTGATGTGTTTCGCCCATCTCTTTCACGTCTGGTGCTGTTCCGTGACCCTTCGTTGGTACAGGAGCTCTTACGAAGATTGCGACAAGGCCTTTATGCTCCGAAGATGGCAGCGAGGCGCGGCAGCTAGGCCTTTTCGTGCCTGTAGGGCCGAAAACGGCAGGGTTTCGGCTGTCCAGACCTTTTGGGCAACGGACTTCCAACCGAGAACTCTACCGTCACTCCAGCTATAGAAGAAAGGAGGACATGTCCTTCTTTGTAACTGAGAAACTAGTCTTCCAGGATCTTTCAGGTATACGGTTGCTTCCTTTCGTTTTCCCCACCCAGATTTTGTGCAGAAGTGACCACCCGTCCTATCGTGCTCCCTGCTGCTGCAGGGCATCAGCCGCAGTCCAATGACAAACAAGACAACGGACAACAAGCTCTAAAACTGACAACACAATCAAATCCCCCAAACAGAAATACAGACAACACGGCAAGAGACAAGAAACAGTGACACGGACAACACAAAGTAACCGCACAGAAGCACCCTGGCCCAACCCAGTGATTCAGCCAGTGGCTGCCACTTCCAGTGGCAGTGTGATGTCCCCACCCAAATAAGCATGGACAGCACTCGATGACAAAGACGACAAGAGGTACAAACAATGAAGGAGATAAATTGAGATCAGTGACAACACCCAAATGTAACGACAACGGTTCGTTCCCTATGCTGTTCCAGACAAGACAAGGCCACTGACAAGACAACAGCAGACTACCTGGGCGAGTATGTTTGTTAATTTGGTTGGTTCAGGTTATCTCCATTTGTTATTCACGTGGCGGGTTGGTTGGTTAATTAGTTAACACGTCAGGTTTGGTTGGTTCAGGTTATCTAATTAGAGTTATCACGTCTTGTTATTCGATGACGGAAAGCACGCTGTATGCCTCGCAAAAACGGATAACCGGATAACTAATAATTACAATTCGTGACCATTCTCCGCGATGTTTGGCGAGTGGACAGGTGCAATGAAGAGCTGCCACGCGAGATTGAGGAGTCTCGGAGCACAAACGCGCAGTAGGTGTTGTTCAAGAATGGCACGTACAATGAGAAGTGCGGATAAAACAGGTAGATATTCACTTATACAATCACCGTGGTGCCAACCTCTTGCCAAACAGGATTTCTGGTGTCTCTTTTTTACGCACAGCATGGCGCTGTTTTCAGCCATCTAGACTTGGTACAACCTCGAATTGAAGGGTTGATTTTCAATGAGGACCTGAATGCTGCAGGTTGCTTGGCCGGTGCAGTTGGCGGGTGCCCCATGAAAAAGTGCCCTTGGCTCTGGTAGATGGACTGATCGTTGTATTCCTATCCCTTCGACGCGGAGGTGGAACAACTGCTGACAGCCGAGCACGGTCTCATGTCTTTCCGGTGAAGACGAAGAGTGCTTGAGTTGGATTGGACAAGAAACCCATGAAAAAGGACCACCGCCCTCCCCCATAAAAGAATTGGACATAATAATGTATTACATTGATGATATTATATGTGGTTTGAATGTGTTTCAATCGGTAATCCTCTTAAAGGATCGAATCACATTGTCTCAGATATTTGAAGGTTCCACGTGTGAGTCTTGGCCGCTGTCAACGCCGTTTTGGGCTCGCGGCCCGCTGAGGCACGGCCGGTCCACACGGATCAAGGGCGATGGAGCTGAAGCGGAAGCAGCGAGAAGTGGAATACGAGTTGGAGAGCACCAGGCAATACCAAAGGGATCAACGAAGTGATCGAAGTGTCGTGCTGAACAAAAGAATCTCCGAGAGTAAGAGAATAGGAGTCAGAATGTGATTCTGCCATGTCGGACTCTTTCATTCTGCTGATGTTCACCTCCAAGAGTTTGTTTTCTTCGAAACGAGACCGCAAAGTCGCAAAGTGGATATATAGGTCCCCACCGCCGCTACAGATGGACGTGAATCAACAAATACACTCATATTATACTATAGACTATATATATATACTGTAGTATAATACTAGCATATAATATATAGACTACTATAGTATATCAATACCAACATGGTATATCAAATAGCAGCCTTGGTTGGTTATTGGATTCCTTGGATCCACTGCAAAGTATTAGAGAGAGAAACCGGCGCCTACCCTTCCAGCCGTGCGACCTTTGTAGCCAACGGTTCCCAACCAATCCTTTCACATAGCGCAACTTGCTATGAATTCAAGGTCACGCTATGGAGGACCGGTCGCATGGGTAACCATCATGGCTTGTCGATGTGGATTCTGGTCACTGATTTGACCCCGTCTCAGAGGAATCTTCCGACAAGAATCGCGACGGGACCGGATCGGGGCTCTGCAAGGAATTGGTGAGGACTTCCCTGAATCACGCAATGGTGGTTTTTTATTTTAAAGGCAGGAACAGAAACGTGAATGTGTTCAAATATGCTCAAAGACCAGATCACGAGGGCTGTTTTTGGAGGAAACTGATGACATGACCACCCGTCTCGTTGGTGCGTTCAGACTTTTTGGGCCTTTTGCTTTGAAGGTTCATTTGCCTCATACGTTTGCCACCTGATGACCACTGTTTTCGCCCCAGGTCATGAAGAACTTGGCTGGCCGGTGAAGTCCGAATGGACATTCTGAGGTTTATAAGGCCTGAATACATACCGTATATGGAGGTCATGAAGGTTTACAATTTGTGAAGATCCTGAAGAACTACCATGACACCGAATGGAAATCTGGATGACTCATGGAGTTCATGGGATCTACCAGAATCAAGATCAAGATCGGCCTGTTGCAGGTGACTTGAAATCTGCACCCCATGCCCAGTGTTTTGGATCTATGTGAACAAATGGAGTCATGATGAGTCATGGAGTACTTCAAGACACTGTTGCAGATGCAAGTTTTACTTGGGAATGATGCAGAAGTGGGTTGCCAGATGGTTGTTGGGGCGTAAGCAGTGCTGTGACAGGATGCACAACAGCATACAACAGCCCTTCGCAGTCTGAAGCTTGGCAGTTGTCGTATATAATTGAGCTGCGTTCATGAGAATTGTTCAGAGGATTCTCTCCGTTGTTACTCTTTGCTGAACATCCAGTTGGGGCTCCATCTCACGCGGTGGTGACAGTTGCGCGAACCTGTTGTGCCACACTTGGACTGGAGCACTGCAGCTGATTCCCAAAGACTTCATATTATACTGATTCCCAAAAGTGCTGAGAGCAGATGGCACCGAAATCGGTTGTCGCGCAGCCGTGCTGGTCGCAGAACAATAAGTTTTTGCTTGGAAGCAATCTCCTCGCAGAAAGCATCAACCTGATGCACTGATGCCCTCATGAATCGTTTTGCCTCTTGAGCATGTTTTGCCCCATTTATTACTTGTACTGCAAGTACAAAGTGGCAAGTGGAGTATACACTCTCGTCTTCCCCGACTGGCCAAAACAGCCTCACATGAGTTCGAGGAATGGATGCATTGTTCTGTGGAGCGTGGAAATCAGGTACTTCTTCATGGTGAGCTGAAATACTTCTTGAATCAGATCTCGCGGATGCCAAGAACCTCAAACAGTTCGGACACAATGGAAGACTACATCCTAAAGGCACTATTTTTTTGTAATATGGTGCATTGGTAGATTGAAGGCACATCGGACCCTGCCAGATCACCGTGTACTGCACAGTTCACATCGCCGTGACGCTGATATGCCATGTTTGCTTTGCCACTCCGGCCCCAAGTGAAGTGCAGTGACCATACCGTTCACCAACATGAAACCGGACTCAATGACCAGTACGTGGCTTTCGTACTGATATTTGTGGTCTCTTGCATTCAGAACGTGTCCACCGTGTGGCGTGGATGTGCTGTGGACACTGAAGCAAGGTCAAAGGGATGGTGACGAAATCACAAACGAAACCTGCACAAAGAATAAGTGAAGCACAGTGAGCGGTCAGTGGTGTTGCTTGCACAAGGTCACGAGGAATCTTCAACTCGCCTTGCATTTGTTCGAAGATTTGAAGGAGGCCTCACAAAAAGCAACGAAACTCAGGAGTCCAGAGGGTGGGCAAGACAGAGTTCAACAGTTTGGCATTAGCTGATTGATGTCCACATTGAACTGAAGTGAAGCCTAAGCTTCTGACTTGGGACGCGCTACCGCTACCTTTCGCTACCTTGACCTTCCCGCCAAGAGGGCAGTGCTTACCAGAAGCCAGACACGTGTGAAAAGGGGCTAACCAAAATGTCAGTGAAGTTTCAGGACGAGCTAAATAATCGAATAGAGTGACATCGGAAACGAATGAAACAAAACATGTCACATGTCCAGCTTTGCCTGCGTTTCACACCTGGCGAGCGAACAGGGCAAGCACTAGATGCTGTTACTTGTCTTCTGATGAAATATGTAGCTTGTGAAGCGGTGAGCGAAAGGATGAGATGCTCACAGCCCAACTCTTTGCCTCCAAAGCAGGCGATATACGCATATAGGTCTTAGATTTAGATGTGTTCGGTCCTTCAAATGAATACTGCCCACCCGGGGCACGTCAGTGACATGCCCTGCGGCCGTGTTTCGACCGCTTCCTGCTCCAGCTCACCGCGCCCGGTCGACCTTGGGAGACCTCGGCCCCGCGGATGGAGGCCTCGGCGGTGGCGAAGGCCTCCGCGGACGAGGCGCGGCGGATTTGCCGGGAGATCCGGCGGATCGGCGGCGGCGATCGACGCTTGGATGGGCGGATGTTTGGGAGGGGATGGAGTCAAGAAGGGTGGAGAAGCAAGGAGGTGAGCAGATTTGATGTGGCTCATGACTCACACGAAAAGAACAAAAAGAACCTGTTTGTATATACTATACAAATTACATAATTAGTCTATTTCGGGATGATTTGGAGGATTCAGACTCGATGCCTTACTAACCTTACTACTTTGGCCAGGTGGGTCATATTGTGTAGCTCCAGCGGCAGATCTGTGATTTTTGCCCATCCAACACTTCAATGACTCATGGCCGGGGATTCCGGTGCGGTTTAGTTCGCACCTTTTCTGCCCTTTGCTTCGAATGGAGTGACCTAAGGAGTGACCTTTGGTGAACTGGTGAAGGATGAGATCGTCGAACAGACCTTCGAAGCCTTGATGGGCACCTTGAAGGCGGCACGAAAGCCCCTCGGCCAGGGGACCTGGACCTGGTGAAAGGATCGTCCTCGCTCCGGGCTTGAATGTTTGAATGTCTGAGGTCGGGTGACGGAAACTAGATATGAAACCATGAAAAAGAACGGCCAGGACCTTCAGTACGTGACCTCTTTGGAGTCTGTAAGTGACCTCTTCAGGGACTAAGTGACCTCATTCTGGATCTCAAAAGGTCACTTTGAAGGTCCTATTTTGGTGACACGGATTTTCACAACCGTGGAGGCGTTCACATTTTTTCCCCAAACAGTTTACTGTTGCGGTTCTATCTTAGAAAAACAGAGCTGGCCACACTCACGTGCCCCTGAAATGTGTGGCTGGGCTCTGTGGCCCGGCTCTGTGTCCGGGTCTTGTCCTCCTCTTGTCCTTGTCTTGGCCGCGCCCCTGAACTGTGGCTGGGCTGTGTGGCCCGGCTCTGTGTCCGGGGGTGCAGTTCCCAAACAGCTGGAGGCTTTAGAAAAGTATACTTGCATTCGTTTCCACCAGCATTTGAATTTTCGGAGTTGACGCCAACACCGAAAAAATGCTGACGCTGTTTGGGGTCTATGCTGGTATAAGGTTGTTTCTTGTACATGCATACGGCATGTCTAAGCAGTTGGGGTGGGGTGGGGCATGTTAACGTTCCTGTGCACTTGCGTGGAGTGTTGATGCTATTGGTTATGTTAACGTTCATGTTGACTGGGGTGGGGTGGGTGGGGCATGTTAACGTTAATGTGCACTTGCGTGGGATGTTGATGCTATGGCTTATGTTAACGTTCATGGTAACTGGGATGGGGCTGGGTGGGGCATGTTATTAACACAGATGAAGACACGTCAGGGTGAAACCCTGAACGGAAAGATCGGGGAGAGAATCTTCCAATGGATCTATTGGCATAATTCCAGAGTATGACACCGCAACCAGGCAAAGCAAAAAATGACCGCTTGACAACTTTTCATCGTCCGTTGCGCAATTCCATGTTTTTAAAACGTGCTCAAAACGCAGGCGACTTGCTCACCCACAATCACAAACGCACGGTTGCGAGAAGCCGTGTTACATTGCTTTTAGTTCACTAAAAGTATCATAAGCTATCCAGTGTCAAAAGCCAGTGTTCAATATTGAGTACCGCTGCTGTGTTTCCGTTGTTTCTCGCTGCTCCACTTGGGACATGATGGGGTCAGGATTCACAGCAATCACCACCCCCAAACAGGAACGCCCGCCAAGCTGGAAGTACGTACATGTACCTCCCTCAAATACCACTATATATGCAATACTATGCATGACACGAACACCAACTGTTTGATGACCTGTCAGGGTCCTGGAAGGTTCACCGACAGGGATTTGCAGCCTGAAAACCAGCCTCCCGAGACGTCGCAGGAAAGGCTTCATTGCCTTCGAGGGGGAACTCCTCTTGCAAGGTCAGCATGATGCAGTCGTCATTTCCATCACCGCGCCTGAGTTCAAAGCAAGTAAGCAGCAAACGAGTCGTAGAAGGCTGACAGAAACCAGGGTAGGTTCGCTTGCAGGATCTTGCAGGTAGTACAGAAAAGGATGAAATCAGACTTAGCAGACTCCTTGTGAGATATAGGTGGACTGAGAGTAGATGGCAGGTGGTTTAGATGGAACCCCATCTAAAAGACCTTTTGGATCCTTTTGGGTTTTTTGCCATCGAACCTCTGAAACCAATGTATGTTGCTGTTCACAATTTGTAAAGACAGTGACTTATTTTTATATTCGTAGGGTCTTTAAGTCGGTGGGTCTGGTAACCATCTCCTATCTATTTTAGAGATGGAAAGACCTGCAACCAGGTCCCATCATCTGGGCCTAGGGAATGGGATATACCCAATCTGTGGTAGGAATAGACTATCACACTTCTGAACAGCGACTCGGTCTATCATGTCCCAGAAACAATCGTTCGCTTTGGGAAACAGTGGTTTTGTGCCAATGATCGTGGCTGCATCTTGGGACCAGCAATCCCTACAGCCCCATTCATTGACTATCTAAAGCGGAAAGGCTGGAACTGTCACAGCCCTTCGGGTGAGGCAATCGAAAAAGCCGGTCTTCGAGTATATATATATATATTATTAATCTATATGGATACAGTATATGATATATGTATATGTAATATATGTATATGTGCAAGTATTCCTACCATCCTCATGAATTCTATATGGACCTGTAAGGATTTGATTCTTTTCACTTCACCCCAGGAATCTGGAGCCAATGCTCCAGATGACGCTGATGCAGATCCTCCACCACGCACCGCAGAAGCCGGCTACACGGCGCCTGCAGCGGAGCCGGCGCCGGCTGCAGCGCCCGTACCCGCGGAGGAGCCTCCCACCACGACCAGTCGGCAGGGCTCAAAGCAGTCAAACAGAAGCGACGAGAAGTTCCAGGTGGACATGTCGCAACTGGGCCACAAGGCGGCGGCGGCTGAATTTGGGATCACATAGGTCCAAACGCCTGCAGAACAACTGGACTTGTGGGGGTAGGATCGGCGTACCTTTTGGTTTCTCGATGAAAAGTCAAAGGGTGGAGAAAGTGTTGAGCTTTCGCTTCAAGGAAAGAGCTTCGGGTATTGCTTTAACCGCAAAGACACAGCTATCCACGGGGTCCTTGCGGGGTCTTTCCATGTCCTCCCATCCTGCTTTTGGGCGTCCACCTGCCTCCGTCCACGCGTGTCCACCTGCCTCCGCTCCGTCTCTCGTGGAAGCGCCCCGTCCGCCCAGTGAGGTACATCAATCATCGCACGGGCGAGGTGGACCGGCTGGAAGGCCGTCGATCAGTGCTGGCTGGAAAGCCCGCCGAGGGTCCGGTACCTGGGCAAAAAAGAACGGAAAGCGCATGATGCTTGAAGGAAGTCAAGGAAGTCATGGTGATGGAGGTAACACATGGTTTGCAAAGACAAAGACAGCCCAAGGACCACGGTGGCTTGTAGTTGGGCAGAGTTGTTGTTTCAAGGTTCCATGTTTGTTTCTTCATTGTTCATTTGTTTTCGAGAGCTTGTATGCCCTTGTATACCACGTAATTCCGGCATTCATGAGACAGCTTGGCAGGTATGAGCCCTTGGGCTTTCTGATGTGGTTTGGTAGCGGGGTTTGCCAATCAATGAGTCATATTCCTGATTCGTTGTCAGAGAGAACCAAGGGGAACGTAGGTAGGTAGGTAGGTACGTGGGTACGTAGGTACGTAGGCATGCATGCACGCAGGCATGTTGGTATGTAAGTGTGTAGGTATGTAAGTATGTATGCATCTATATATTTAAGTACGTAAGTATGTATGTGTGTAATGTATGTAATGTATGTATTGTATGTGTGTATTGTATTGTATTGTATTGTAATGTAATGTAATGTAATGTAATGTAATGTAATGTAATGTATGTATGTATTGTATTGTATTGTATTGTATTGTATGTACGTACGTACGTGCGTATGTATGTATTATGGTATGGTATGGTATGGTATGGTATGGTATGGTATGGTATGGCATGGCATGGCATGGCATGGCATGGCATGGCATGGCATGTAATGTATGTATGTATGTATGTATGTATGTATGTATGTATGTATGTATGTGTGTGTATCGTATGTAATGTAACGTAATGTCATGTCATGTCTTGTCTTGTCATGTAATGTAATGTAATGTAGTGTATGTATGGTAATATAACACTAATGTAATGTTTGGATGTATTGGTATGTATTGGAGTGTTTTGGTATGTTTTGGTATGTATTGTAATGTTCTGTAAGGTATTATTGTAACGTATTGTAACGTGTTGTAAGGTAATGTAATGTGTCTTAGTGTAATGTAATGTAATATATGGATGTATGTATGGACGGACGGACTCACGGATGGATAGATGGCTGGATGGATGGAGGCGAATACCACCATAGGATCTGTTGACCAGCAGGATCGGATCGTGTGCCTGTTCCCTTGTTTTTGCAGCCAGACCGTTGAGTCTTTCAATGTTGATTGGACACTGCAACATGGTGGATAGACATATTGGTAGTAGAAGCAAAGTTTGTTGCGAGAGACGAAAGATTTTCGGTAGAGGAATAGACTAGTGTATACTTCAAGCAAATGCTTTTATAAGCAGTTCACTACACTCTTGTGAACAGATTAGGTGCGCAAAACATAGACAATGCCCAAATATTTACCAGATAAAATTCCTGAATATATGCCAGATAGAATGCCAGAAATTGTGCGAGACAGAATGCCAGATAGAGTGCCAATATATGCCAGTGTATATGGGAGATACACACCTTTTTGGTGATGCTGAAACAATACATACAGCCGTCGGTTGTCAGTAGATTATCGTGCCATGGTGGGGTTGAATTGAGTTAAACGGATTTTTTTTCCCATGGCGTCCAAAAACAAAATCCGCTTGGGGGTGGAGACGTTCAGTCCGTTCAGGTGACACATTCGCCTTCGGTGAAGAAGGAAGAGGACCGATCTCGAGATGGATCGAAATGGATCATTTGTTGTTTGAATCCTTCGGATGTTGATCCAAGAAGAAGAAAGGGTACCCCATATGCCCAGAAACCTCCAGACACATCCTCAGAAACTAAACTTTTCGACCCCCCCAAACCCACCTCCAAAGAGGGTGATTTTTAAAGAATAGGGGTGCCCGTGATCCTCTCACGGGATTGTTCTAGGAACCACTCCTGGCACTTTCCCAATGCTTAAGTTGAACAAATGTTCAGTTCACAGAAGGTTACTATGAGATCCAAGTGATGGAATGTTATTTTCTGGTTATTCATATTGTTCAATACTATACTACTATACTTTATATGACTTTGAACCTGCACCAAGTTCGATGTGTCCCGCCCTTTTTTAAGCCATGAATCACCGGAAAAAAATCCGTCAGATCGGCATGATCGATCGCCCAGCCATACATGTCCAACCCCACACAGACCACGGGACTCCCTCAATGAAAGCAAAAGCGCCGGTGATATGCGTGCTTATTACAAAGTCGTCACTTCAGGATGGGAAGTGGAAGGTGGATACCTCCTACATCGGCTACCGCACTGAGAATCCGGACAACCTGACCCGGAAGGAGGAGAAGGTAGACGATGCAGTCTATGTACCACGGATTATGATTCAAGAGGATTCAAGGAGGAAGCCGGTCTAACTCTTTGTGCCAGTCAGTGTAGTAACATTGATACTGGCTTGTTGGAATGAACATTGATTGGACATGACTGTAGCTGCCAGGGTTGATTGGACCCCGCGGAACTCACAAAGATTTGTGGGGAACTTACTCAATATCCCTTGTTTGATCGGGGATCATCTGACAATCCACCATACCTCCTGCTTGATATCAGCTGTGTTTGTTTGTACATGGAATGCCTTGTTTGTTCAATGTTACATAGTTTTGGTTGGTTTGCCCAGATAGCTTGAAACCCAACATTCCATGCTTTCTTGGGAATAATGGTGAAGGTTCTCCCAATCAACAACATTTGTTCACCGATGAAAGCCCAGGTCCAGGTGTTTGTGGGCTCAATATCCCTATATTCTCACATTCACATTCCTCCAAAAAAATGATGTTTGCCTACCCATTTCCAAAACCTGCCCCTAAACCAGAAAGCACCATGGTCTAACATCCAGCCAAATCTCGACTATCTGAGTGACCAAGTCACGTCCATCGATCGAGGACTTTCGCACCCAGTGACGGCCTCGGCCTCGGCCGTTTCGCTCTGAGGCACATCCGGAGGATCGGAAATACCCCCACGAGGAGCTGAAGGTGAGCCGCGGCAAGCCGCCCGCCGCTTGGGCATCCGAGGTCCGCCCAAGAAAGGTCGGAAGACCCGGCGGGGGAAGACAGGGGGGGCCCAGTTGTGTGGTTTTTCGGAGGGACCTCAGTCCCACAGAGGGGTGGGCTGGAAATGAGGAAAGGCCGTGAACATGAACATAGGTAAGGAAAGATGCAAGAAACTGGGGAAGTACAGCCAAGACGTTGATTGCCTTGATGATCCTGCTTGAATTTGTTTGTCTTTGGTGAAAGTAGGTTGAACATGGTTGAACTGCAACAGGGGTTTATGTGGATTCAGTGTCAGGGGGCATCTAGGATAACCAACCAGTCACTGTGTCCTTTAAGCATTTTGAATCCCTCCTTAATTCAGTTAGGCACCACCACTGCCTCTTCGTGATTCTCTCGCCTCACATGTGAGGATGTGGATCCGGCCAAGAGGGAGCTCTACCTCTCGGAGTCCGACTTCAAGTCCATCTTTGGGATGACAATCTGGGACTTTCAGAAGCTTCCAAAGTGGAAGCAACAAAATGCCAAGAAGGCCAAAGACCTCTTTTGAGAGACTCGTGCCTTCGGCTGCCTTCGATGAACATCTCATTCAATCTCCTTAGCTAATCATGCTCGCAGACTAGCGCAGCTTTGCTGGGTTTGCTCCAGGAGCCCTTGCACCAGGTCCAAGACATGTGTGTGAAACGAGTTAGAGATGCGAAATCGTTCAACTTCGCTGCATGATTCCAGCAGAAATATACGAGCAAAGGCAGGAGCAAAGCTCGCATTGGCGGGCAACAGAATCGAATCCTGACATCAAAAAGAGTGGCAGGAGCGAAGCCGCGGTTCGGAAGCGCGGTCATGCTGGCGCAGTCATGTTGGAGCTCAAATATGAGATGCTTCCTGTCGCTTTTTACCTTTCAATCCCAGTTCTATTTCTACTTCACGGTGACAAATTCTTCTCCAAGCGGATAGTCATGTGATGTCATGTGAGCCAAGACGACAATTCATCATTTTGGGAGGCATTCATTGGGCTCATTTCAGAGCGTTCGACAGGTGTTGGTGTTCTGACCCACAATTGAGCATGCCGGAGACATCCAAAGACACTGGGCATCACTGAACCTCCCCAACTTGCGCTTGCTTGCTTCCAAGGTGTTCTGGACCCTTATTACTCCAGAGAAATGAACAAAAGCACATGTGCAATAGATTTGACATGCTGAGAATCTTGGGTTCAGGATCTATTGGTCCATGAACCGAATGAAATCTTTTGACCTTTGTGCATTCCCTGCTCCGCTGCAGTTCCAGTGCAGCTCCATCGAAATCACGCGGACCTATGGCCCGGAGCCGAGACAGAAGGTCCACTGAGTGGACCTGCTTGGTAGCCACTGCTGGCACAAAGTTCTGGAATATTCTGGAATTACGGTATAATGAATTGACACGTTTAATAGATTTTAATAGTATGCGTATGCACATATTTGATACATAGCTGTTTTCATCGTCAAACATGATTCCTTTGGTTTGAGGTCAATACGATGAGGTAGTTTTACACTAAGGTCCACTTGTAGGGCACTAGGGATGTTGTTTGACTGGGCAGGCCGGGCAGGAAAACGTTGCATCAAGACTTGACTGTTTTGCATCAGGGCTTCCTTGCCCAGTCTTGGTTGCTTATTTTAAGGACACTTTATTCCCGAATGCGTAGCGAAGGGTTCTCGTTTAACTCTTGGGGGTCTGGGGGTAGAGTCTTGTTCGCGATCCGTTGCTTCTATGTTCGCAACCGTCCGCAACCGTCCGCAACCGTCCGCAACCGTCCGCAACCGTCCGCAACCGTCCGCAACCGTTCGCAACCGTTCGCAACCGTTCGCAACCGTTCGCAGTAGGACGCTCGCAGTAGGACGCTAAGGCGCTGCCATTGGGGGAAGCTTTTGCAAGTGACTTTTCATTGATGTGTCACGTGTCAGTTTGCGACGCTATTCCATTGTGATTTGCATGAAAATGACATGTCGCGCAAGAAGCGTGATGCATCTCGCTGCACAGGCGCAGCGTTTTGTGAGATCCTCAGTTTGCTACGCAGTTCCATTGGGATTAGCATTTGGAGAGTCGTGTTTTTGGGGTGTTGGATGTGGCCGTGCTTTGGGATTTGCCTTTCAGGGTGTGGCATCGAAGCTCTGTGTTCGTGACAAGTCTCAGCTGAAACGGCGATTTTGGTGGATGGGAGTGTGCTCAGAACGGATCGAAATCATTCCAAACGTGTGGTGTGGTGCAAATTTTGTTGAAGCTCACATGAGATGATATTGTCACTTTTCGTGGCAGGCGCAGTACTTTGTGCGGGTTTTGAGGCATGGAAGTGTGATTTTCGTGGCAGGCGCAGGGAATCGTGAGGTTGCGAGGTGTGACGGAGGTGACATTGCGTGGCAGGCGCAGTACTTTGTGCGCGTTAGACGTGTGGACGCGGAAAGATGCGTGGCAGGCGCAGGGAATCGTGAGGTTGTGAGTTGTGGTAGAGGTGACTGTCGTTGTCTCATTGGGATTGGCGTGTGAGCGGGTGTTGTTTGGAGGGGCTGGAATCACGAAACTGCTTGGCAGGGCTGCGTGATGTGTGTGCTCCGATGGTTGTTTCCGCTTGACTTTTGGAGGAAGTCTCGTACGAAACGCTCGTTTTGGAGACTTTGACACGTGAGTTTTTGAGGAAGTCTCGTACGAAACGCTCGTTTTGGAGAGTTGACGCGTGACTTTTGGAGGAAGTCTCGTACGAAACGCTCGTTTTGGAGACTTGACGTGTGACTTTTGGAGGAGGTCTCGCACGAAACGCTCCGTTTTGGAGGCTTGACGCGTGACTTTAGGAGGAAGTCTCGTACGAAACGCTCGTCTTGCAGCCTCGAAGCGTGACTTTTGGAGGAAGTCTCGTACGAAACGCTCGCGTGACTGCTTCTAGTGTGTGGGCAGACCGTGTCGCGACGCGAGTGTCCCACAAGAGTGTCCCACAAGAGTGTTCCACAAGAGTGTCCCGCAACCGTGTCCCACAAGAGTGTCTCACAAGAGTGTCCCTTAAGAGTGTCCCACAAGAGTGTCCTATAAGAGTGCCCCACAAGAGTGTCCTACAAGAGTGTCCCACAAGAGTTTCCTACAAGAGTGTCACACAAGAGTGTCCCACAAGAGTGTCCCACAAGAGTGTCCTACAAGAGTGTCCCACAAGAGTGTCCCACAAGAGTGTCCTGTAAGAGTGACCCACAAGAGTGTCCTACAAGAGTGTGTCACAAGACTGTCCCACAAGAATGTCCGACAAGACTGTCCCATAAGAGTGACCCACAAGAGTGCTTTTGAGAGTGTCCCACAAAGAGTGTCCTACAAGAGTGTCGTGTAAGAGTGACCCACAAGAGTGTCCTACAAGAGTGTCTCGCAAGAGAGTGTCCCATAAGAGTGACACACAAGAGCGCCCCACAAGAGTGTCCCAGAAGAGTGTCCCACAAGAGTGCCCCGTAAGAGTGGCCCACAAGAGTGTCCTACAAGAGTGTCCCACAAGAGTGTCCTACAAGAGTGTCCCGCAAGAGTGTCCTACAAGAGTGTCCCAAAACAGTCCCCCGCAAGAGTTTCCTACAAGAGTGTCCTACAAGAGTGTCCCACAAGAGTGTCCCAGAAGAGTGTCCCACAAGCGTGTCCTACAAGAGTGTCCCAAAACAGTGCCCCGCAAGAGTTTCCTACAAGAGTGACCCACAAGAGTGTCCTACAAGAGTGTCCCACAAGAGTTTTCCACAACAGTGGCCTATATGAGTGTTCCACAAGAGTGTCCTACAAGAGTGTCCCACAAGAGTTTCCTACAAGA